AGAGTTTTACCACCCAGTACTTTACGTTACTTGATCATTCCCTCTTTCCATGAACTATTGTTTGAAAAGTCCTTGTGGCAAACCATTCTTGTAGAAACGTTTTACTAGACTATGGCCACATTTCTGTCGCAATGCCGCTTTTTATGAGCGTTTTCCAATAATATATTCCCGTACAACGCAGAAGTCTTCTGTGTTTTTCTCTGCTATCAGTACGTACTGATAGTCCAGTATACTGGACTGATAGCTACCTCAGTGCCTCTGTGTTTAGTAGTTCTAACTTGATTGATCGACTCTCCAATGCACTCATTCCATTGATCATTATCACCATGTCATTCTAAAACTGAATGTACAAGCACAATAACATTTAAGCGGATTTGACAAATGACCTAATACTAACAGCGCATTCATCCGTTGGCGGTCAACATGTCCACACTTGGATTACCCGGCTGTCGGCGATGTGGTTGTACAGCTCCATTTTGTCCAACACGCCATCTCCATTCCTGTCCAGCGTGTCAAAAAGCTTCCGCGCGTTGCCCTCCACCTCCTCAGCGGACAGGTCCTTGGACAGAAGGGTCTTCACCAGCGCCAACATCTCCACGGTTCTTCAATCCTCCAGCATCGAGAGGTCCCTAGGGGTGCCATAAAATTTCTGTCCCAAATTTCCACAAAAAAACGCTTTGGGTGGAAGTACAAAGTTCATTATAACAGCTTCTGATCCCCGAAGCGAGCTCTTAATTATCCACACGAGCTATTCGTCCCTCGTACCAGACGGCTTGTTTGGGACAGTTTTGTTTCCCGGGCTGGATAACCCCCGCAACGCTGTTGCTGGAAAATATGGGGCAAGTCTCAGTACTTTGCAGTACTTAGCTGACCATTTGTTCCCTGAAACGGCGTTCCACGCGCCTCTGCGAGATGCGCTCACGGCCACCGTGCGAACCGAACAATCTCACCAGCGGACATCAAAACATTCGCACGGCGCGTCACTTTGTGGCCCCTTTTTTCCGCATTTATTAAATTTTCTCCAATCCGCAAATCGTAATTTTTGGATTTTTCCCGGTGGCGCTCCGTGGATGCGGCTACTTCACTTTTGTACATGGCGAAGGGTGGGATTTGCGCCCCATGGTAGGGAAGAATGACCCGTGTTCAGTGCCTAGCGCGATGCTGGGGACATTCACAGCCATTACGCATGGGTGGCTGCTATTGGCCAATGGCCTGGGTAGACTTGAGATGCGCGTGCAAGACAAGGAGAGGAATTCACATCAAGCTGGCGAAACACTCTCTTATCTTCACCTGCAGGCTGAGCTGTGCGACACTCACCAGTAAACACCAGGCCAAAACACATGGTTTAGATAATCGTATGCCGTGCAACACAATTGGAGATCGTGTGAAAAACAGTACATGTAAAAAATAGTACCAAAATAGTGCATGGAGCATTTACCGTTTAAAATGAGAGCAAACCGCTTAGTATTTGTCGAGTGAGTGTGCATGATTTTTACACGTTTCGGCACGGTTTTGCACGAATTTGCGCGGTTGGATACCGTGTATTTTAGCCGATTTTTGTTACTTTTGTGAATACTTAGTGTGCAGGATAAGGGAATACAATAGATACAAATCATGAATACCCCATATAAGCAATCGCATGCTCTGCGTATCCACATAATAGAAAGGGGCTATACTTGGCGGGGGCGAAAACAGGAATCTGTTCCTTGAGAATGCACAGCTTATATACTGCAAGCACATTTTGCAGCATTTGAGTGCACGGTCGCCCTGATTCGAAATTTTAATTTCGAATTACTGCATTTCCTGCACTTTGCCAAATTGCTCTGGGAGCGGCTTTGCGTCCGCCATCGCCTGTCGATTGCCGACTTTTTGCGCTTAGGGAAAAATAATTCAAGGAATTCGCCATGATGTTGGTGGGCGTATCGCTCTTGTTCCTTGAGGAACCAACAGCTCCCAAGGCGTTCTGTTTCTGTACTTTTAGTGCTCGCGATTCTCAAAAGCAATTTAAAGAATTTGGTCAGAACTCAGTAGCTCGAATCGCTCTGGTGTCTTGGGGACGATCATTCGTAGTGTTTTGCATCCTATCGCTCGAAGTATGCTACTGTATTTATATATGAAGCACACGAGAAGGGGGACAAGTTTCTGCAGCGTTGCTGGGAAAAGCATTGTCGGAGGCCTGCTCGAATTCAAATTTGAAATACGGTTGATTGCAAGTTTGCTGAGGGAAATTGACCGACGCGGAACTGCCAGATCTGAAATATATTTTGAATGAAAGGCTACAGTGTAAACGGGCCTTTTTATACTCTGCAGTTCTGCGCGCAGAGGCAGCGCTTCATATATTACGGCCACACATTACGGCGATATCATCAAATACAATATGTCGAAATACCACGCTGAAACATATCAGGTATATTGCACCGAACAATTTTCTAGGGAATTTGATTCACGCTAAATCAATATGCATGCAACATCACGTGTTGGATTCAGACTTCTATGTCGGATGTCAGTCTTGGCCACAGCGATTTGATGACCACGACGTCTCACACCCGACGTCTACGTTCTCCCGCCACGTTTCATAAAATATACACAGCAAAATGGTGATGAGTGCAAGCATCAATATGCAAGAAGAATTCTTTGGTACTTCAAAGGATCAAGTTCGACTCCGCAAAAATTCTGCGGTCGTACTATGACTGTGGAAAACGTTTGATCATTTACCCAATGTCATATTGACCGAATTCCCTACCCCCGCCAGCAAGTCCTAGGATTCGCTTCTGATCACTTGCATTCGATGCGCAATGCAGGCTCCGATGCCACCCTTTGCAACATAGGTACACAGAAAATCGCGTTCGATGAACTTCAAATTTCAAAATTTTGGTATTTCCGGCTCTGGATATGTGTTTTGGGATACGGCGAAATTTGATCCAACCAATTAAGCAGATGGGCAGTGCTTTTGCAATTTATTGGGACTGCGCTCTGAAAACTCTGTACAAAACCCCCCGTCCCTCATGGACCTGCGGATTCCAGGGGTTTCCGCCTGTACTTTTTGTGCGAATTTGTTCAAGGATCTGTTCCAACATACTAGGAAAAAACGGGCCGAGTACATGGTTCTGAAAGTCGGGTACAGTGTAACACGATCGAAGACAGTGTAGAAATCGTGATAAAATCGTATTTATCGTTTAAGAAGGGGACCAAACCGTGCAGTGACGATCGAGTGAGTGGACGTAAGTTCTGCAAACTTTGGCGCGGTTTCACACTATTGTCGCATGGTTCAAAACCGTGTACTTTGGCCGATTTTCTAGTTGCGAAATGGCGCATGCATTACATACCCTGCCATTTCAGTTTATGAGCTTGTTTTGCTGTACTAACTTGTTTTGTTTGTTTCGCTTTTTTCCCTAACTTGGGCATTTTTGCATTTGTGCACATGAGACCTGCTAATATCGATGCAGTGCCTGATCATATATGGTGATGGACACGGATCGAGCCGCTGTGTCCGCATTCGAGCTGGGGGTGGGATTGTCTTGCACAATCGTTGCCATGTCGTGATGACTACATGGCAGCGATTGTTCAGGATGGTCCCATTCCCAGATTGGACACAACAGCCCAGCATATGTCGCTCATTCCGTAAATTTTATACCTGTAGAGTCAGCACTTTTAGTCCATCGGTTGAACGATCTATTACCTGATTCTGCCAGTGTTTTAGATTGGGTGAGCTCTTTGGGGTAAAATTATCTGGGACCGAAATACACAGCTGAGTGTATCTGCTGCATGAGCGCCTCATTCATCAGCTGTGATTGCTTTGCAGCCATGCTTGCATTTGCGGTCCCAAACGTTCGCCGTAACTCCAATAGAACTAAAAATAGAAAAACTGGAAAGATACAAAAAGCTACGCAGTATGTGCGCATAGATGATGCAATGTAACGACAATCGGCCAAAACATTACAAAAGTACATACTTATGAATGCGATCTGCGTATGGTATTTGACGACAGTAGATACCGTCGTACTGCGCGACATGGCCTGTCCCGCAGTCTCAACAGACGCATCGGATCCCATTCAAAATCCACATGAATGACGTCCGCGGAGGCTTTCCTCACATCCTTGCCTCCCTTGGCCGTAAGTCTAAAAACAGAGCACTGATCCGTACATATACGGGACGGGTACACCTGCTTTGCTTCAAATTATTCGAAGAACCGCAATCCTGCATGGAAATGGCATTCGTGGATGCGACGCTCTTTGATCACATGTAATGATGCTAGACGCCGCCGTGCAGAGTCGATACAGTAATTTGCTTACTTAAAAGAATCGGAAGCAATAATTTTCAACAGACTTGTGCCGGCATAATATACCCATATATGGTGGCATCTGGACTGCATCTGACAGCGACACAAAGGCACGAACACACGGCTACTGGAGCCGGCCATTTTGCTCCCACGTAATGTTCATTTATTTTTATCCCTATCGGTTCATGTCGAGCTGTTGTGGTGCTGATTGAAGATTCACGTTTCGCATCCAGATAAGTTCGCCAGCACATCGAATTTATCATTAATCTACTAATACACGGAATGCCAATGTCTCACCGACATCCCCTTATACCAACTGGTCATCGATGGTACAAGCAATTAGCCATCAGACTGTCGGCCGCCTCATCCCAGAAGACTCTTGACAACAGCAGCTAGCTGGCAGCTCATGGCCACTAAATGCAACGCCAAAAGCGATTAATCATCGCCCGGGATCGAAATTCAACAAAATTGATCTACCAAAAGTCTACCTAAATTCGACTGAAATTTGATTGAAATTCGGCAGATATTGGACTAAATTCCCTAAAATTTGCATATAACTCGCCCAAATTTCGACTGAACTTCGACGTAAATACTACACTGAAAGTCGACCGAAACTCGACGGAAACTTGACAATAAAAAAGCTGGCACTGGGCTGAAATTCGACAAAAATGCACTGAAAGTCGAAAAAAATACGACTGAAATTCGGCTGAGCATTCAATACTCAGTCCCTCAGCTTGATGAAGGTCTTCTTGAGCAGCCGCGCCTCGGCCGCCACCGTGCCCCCCTCGCCGACGCCCTCCCCGCCGCCCATGGAGAAAGACGTGGCGATGTCCCGCCCGTGCTTCTCCGCCTCCCCCAAGAAATCCATGATCTCCACAAAAGATGCGTCTTTCAGCACCACCATGTGCTTGGCAAGGTTCTCGATGAGGGCCAGGAAGCAGCGCTTGGCGTAGAACCAGGTGTCTGTCTCGATCTTCTTGTCGTAGGGCTCCAGGGACTTTATGATGCGGGAGATGCCGAACTCGAAGTTGCCCTTGGAGCAGTAGAGGGTGCCGATGACTAAGTTAATGATGCAGAGGTGGAAGGGCTGGCTGTCAGGGTTTTGGTACAGCGCGTGTTCCTCCTCCTTCTCGATCTTACGCATCAGCTCTTCGGCCTCCTCATTCTGGTTAACGCAGCTTTCCATCAGCTGATGCACTGCATGACTAAATAGGCAATTTATATTATACCTGAGGGATTCGTGAATTCGAAAATGGCATGCTGAAGCTCCTCTCAGCAATGCATAAGCGGGAATGCAGCCAGGAAGCGTCATGAGTTTCTGTCAGGATTCCCGATGATGGCGGAAAATTCAACGAGGCTCCCTGACTGCCTAGAATGCCAAGGTTTGGGAATGCAAGCGCATCTGCCTTCTTCAAGGACGCTGGAGCGAAATGCAAACAACAAGTAAATCATCATCGTCATGAAAATGCATGGATTACATTTGTCACAAAATGACAAGACACAGCCTGTGCACCTGGTAGGCGATAATGGGCGATGAAGCAAATGAAAATCAGAATTGAAGCAGTTACGAAGAGTGATGCGGAATCTGCTTGCACCATTTGCGATTTCAAACTACTGCATTTTTTTGTCCATACGTTTGCCTTCGGCTACGCAAGGTGGTGCCCTTGGGCCTGTTAGGCACTGAGGGCATGCATCAATCCTTGAAATCTTTCACGTCCCTCATCCGCTCATTTATCCACGCGCAATTGCGGTATTCCCAATAGTGTGGGAGAGTCGATTGCCGTTTGGAGCATCAAGTTCACATGAGATCAACTGTAACTCGGTGTGCAAATTGATCCCACCATTGCGCCCACGGTAAAACATTTGTGCGTCCAGTTGCTTGCCTCAGCAAACTTGCTTGTGACGCACCTGACTGGTCATGATGTAGGAAACGCACAGGTTGGCCAGCACGATGGCGGTGACACCCAAAAGATTGTCCCCATTTTTCTTCACGATAGGCTCGTAGTACCTGGTGAATGAACGAATAGAAACCATGCTTGTACAGTGGAATCACAATACCAAGCTTTCGCGACATCAACTCGCAAATGCTCCGAATTTCCAGTGTATGCGATCGAGAGGCAGGTTAATCAAATGAGGCAATTCCAATTACAAGATTCAAGTCAGGTCAAGCTCATAAAGTTTTCATTCATTCGAAATCACGCTGGCAGTCTTCCAGAGTACTACAAGAATCTCGCAATGCCCTGAGAGCACAGCACCAGAAAATGTGAAGCTATCCGGCGACTCGAGGTCTGTAGAGACACCTGTCAATTTTGCTGTGTAGGTATCCCTGCTCTGTTGCCGAACTCATGAATAAAAGGGTACCTGGTAGCCTCTTTGAATTTGTTGTCCTGCATGAAAAAGGTGTGCGCAACGTTGAGTTTCCACGTGGGGTGCTCGTGGCAGAACTCCGCGGATTGGCGGAAGATGGCCTCCACTCGCGAGTAATGCTCGCGTTCCCAATAGACATGCGCTGTCGACGTCAGTACTTGGGAAAGGCAGGAAGAGTGGGAGTCAGTAAAACAGAGACAGGGTCATTTTGCACCGGGCAGCGCCGCAGGATATCAAAATTTTGGGGGTTGCGAATTGCGTGAAAAATGTGACATATTTATATTTTGTACATATAATAATAAAAACAAAAAATGTATTGCAAAACAATGGGCCCTCGCAGGGGCAAGGACAGCATGCGGTTGGGAGAAATAATGAAATAGGAGAGAAGGGAAGGGAACGGAATCTCGTAATCCCAGGATTTGGATGTGTAGCAGTAAAAATTGAGAGCAGATAGGAGACAATGTCTTACCTCGCATGCCACGCGTTTGTTTTCCCAAACAGAACTTTCAAATTGATATTCTTGCTGCTGGCCATATTTTCAGAACTTGCAGGTAATTGGTGTTAATAGGCGTACATTCCACAATCATCAAAATTCGTAATAAGCACTTCTTGGCTCCAATGTGGTGCAGAACTTGAATGGCTGACTAAAAAATATTCACCATTGGCGTGCTAGCGATAAGCCACGAGATCTCTTCTTGCTGCTTACTCGCAACGACAAGAATACGATTGGCAATGAAGCGGCAATTTTAATCACGTATCATGATTGCCAAAGGTGGCATGAGCTCTTCATCCACGATCCTATTGTTTGGGGCCTTCGGCGGTGGTATATGTGCGCATGGAACAATGTCGCAATTATTAGTGTTCTAAACCATCTAGACCACCAAATTTGTGTATTGCGTCTCATAGTTATGCAACAGGAACACATTCGAAGTACTATAAACTATCCCATTGTGTCTGGATTGCTCGGTGGCTTTCCATATCATCGCGCACGTTTACAGAATGCACTCTCCTGCTTCATCTTTTACCTCTGACCAATAGTACTGCCATTTTTATCCAAATCCGTATAGAGCCCCGCGCAATTCTAATGACTTCTTTCAACTCTGCTTAACGTCATCGAAAATGATCTCTAACGGCCGAAGTCCCTCACCGGGCACGTAGGCTTCAAGGACTTCGTCGTATTCGCTGATCGCCTTCTTGATGCCTTCGTTGTCTCTGGCGATACGCGCGTCCTGGATGTCCTTAGTCAACCGGCGCAGAGTCTCCACGTGGAGGCCAGCGAGCTGGTCCAAACGCCTCAGCGCCTCTTCGGGCGACGTTTGCTTCATGATGACGGCCTCCAGGTAGGCATACAGCTCCTGGTGCGGAAAATTCGCCCAGGTCATTGGGATTTTACGCGACCACAATTGGCTACTAGATGTGCTTCTTAACAACCCATTATAAGTATAAGATATATAAGTATAAGATTTTTGGAATATCAGGATAGATGAATGGCAAAAGACTGACATGATAGTGGTGCCATTCATTTTGCAGATGTGTACCGAGCGCTTTGCCGTTGCTCATTCGAGGTGAGAGTTGGCTCCAGAAACACCCACGCCCCGGCGGGGGTAGGCAGGATTGGATCAATCCGGTAGAAAGCCGATGCGCATGGCGCGATTTCTACATCACTTGGAAATTAATCGAATCTAAAAGTGAGATCACAGAGTCCTCGTAGATTTCAAGCGCGGCGGTGAAAGCAGGATCATGAGCATGAAGTGGATTATGATTCCTGTGTCACGAGCAATGGAATTCTTGAATCCAAATCGCAAAAAATCAAATTAATACAGTCAATTTCAGCTCAATGAAGCTGGACAGGATCCCAACCATACGATTGGATGCATGCTCGTAACCACATCGGCACATGTTCTGCCACTGCAGAGGTCCGCGTTTCGTCAAGGCTTTCAATGTTGCTCACCCGTTCACGCGGCCATCCCCAACGACACTTAAATAGGTCAGATACAAGTCCTTGGCAGTGTTTCTACTACAATTGCGGAAGCTAATTGCGCATCAAGATCAAATCGAGTGTAAAATTGGTTACTATCTCTGCTCCAAAAGTCGTGTCGCATCTGCAATGTGCGCGAACGTAGATCTAAATGCGTGAGTCGGAAATTTTGAACAAAACAACTTTGATGCACAATACCAAGAGCTAGCAAAAGAAATGTGAAACAATAAATACGGTGCTGCCGTACTTGAGATATGTCGAGCGCAGCTGAAACGCGATTTATAGGACGGGACATAGCGAGCTATACTTGCCCTTAAGAAGAGGCGGATCGACCTTATCTGTCTCTAAGAGAGCGCTATGCTTTGCTGATGTGGTCTGCACTAAGGATGCGGCTTGATTGCAAAGAGAATCAATGAATAATAGGATAGAAATTTAGTCCAGAATTTGTTGTATATCAACAAGAACCGTGTAAGGGTTGAGGCCAACGCCCAAGAGACACTTCCATCTGTAAAAAAAGAACTGCTGGCAGACTTTACAAGGTAAGTAAGGTCATCAATACCAGGAATACGGCTTAGATTGAAGCGCGAACAGTAAAATATTAAAATCGAAAATCTGAAAAATATGATTTAGCATATTCAAATAAACAATGAACAAAAACCAAGTTAGTTTTGATATCAAGATACTCGACAGGATGCGGCAGTGCCTGTTGGTTGTCTACAGCAAAGTTGTTCACGAGTATTGGAGAAACGGAACGGGGCATGCGGGAATAAGGCCAATGCATTGATGTGGAGACTTGAGGACCTGCGTTGAACTGGATAGGACAATTTCGGACAACACTGTGAATATGTGTTTATGGTGATGACTAACTTAATCAAGGTCTATCTCAAACCCAAATCCACAAAGCAGACCCTAAATGGTAACGGATTGAATGAACGAGTTGATGTTGCAAAGTTATAGCAAGCATTACAGCTGCGACACGACTTTGTACCAGAGGCAGCAATCAGTAACAGAGACGTCCATAGATTCTCTCGCCACGTTCGATTGAAACTGCCCTCGATTTGACAATTGCCGTCATTGATTTGGCCCCACCGGGTGAAGATGCTTGGCCACCAGGTGCTCGTTTTCCGCCATCACGTCAGCAGCCAGGTCATAGAACCCATGTTGAGGCTTGCAGTAGAGGAGGAGCAGGCTCCCAAAGGTATCCGGCGGGAATGGTGGGCTTTGAAGCAGGAAATTCAACTTTTTGAATCCTCCCTCGGGATCCTCATCCATGTTGATTATCGCGCTGTTGTGCAGGGTCACCTATATCCAGATGGTATTCCGGATTGAGACCTGAAATCGTGGCGCAGTGAGCCTGGAGTACCATACAAACTAGCGCAGTGGATGACTAATTCCGATAATCGCTACCAGATGTTCGTATGCGTGCGCATTTTTGTGCAAGCTAATTGAAATGTGCATTGCGCCAATATGCGGACAGCAGCGCAATCGTTGTCAAACATGTATACTGTCCTATTTTTTCTGTTCTTCACTTTCAGAGTGATACAGTCAGACTTATACATACAGATATGTACATCCATACTAGATGCACTCCAGATGCATAAGACACTGCATATCTGCATCTAATAATGTCTATCTTCGATTATTTCATCATGGATGTATGACACATGTGTATAGATACCCAGGCCAATGCCATTCCTTAGTTTTGACAGCGTCGACAGCATCCCAAGCGTACTGGATCGATTCCCAATTATCGATATCGACGATCCCTATCGATTCTGCATCGATCCGCAGACTCTCTCCCTCACCGGGTCCAGCTCCTCCTCCGATCTCGGCGGCATGTCGGTGAGCGCCTCCCGCGCCGCCTCGTGGTTCTTCATCGTGTACTCGATCGCCGCCTTCAAATTGAACGCCTCCACCAGCGCCGTGTTCTTGAGTGTCTGGCTGTTGCCCACACTGCGGACCTCCACGCCGTTCGTCGCACTGTGGGCGCAGGCACATGAGAGGAGGGGAAGAACACTCCAACGCTGTGGAAGTTTTTCTGTCAAAGAACGTATTTCTTTTTGCATGTAATGGATTCTTTGTTACACACGTTTTTGCCAAAGCAGCGGAAGGCATTGTGGCAGCTTTGCCTCACGATTTTGAGGACTTTTAATCGTGGATGGGCTTGGCGTCGATGCGCCAGTTTGCATGGATACGCCGTGGTCCATGCACATCATATATTTTGGGTATAGTACGTATCGTATATCGTATCGCATGAGATGTCGGAGCAATATAGATTGAATGGCTCAAAATCACGGGGGAAATTTTCGGAAGCGTGTAAGATGATATCGGAGATGTTTATTGATGATTGGTGTTCCGCGGCATCATATTTGTGACCAGGAAACCGTGAGGAAATATGTGAAGGCATGCTTCTCAGATTTGCGGTTGGCAACCCATGGAACGACGTGCTATTATTTTTGTGCCGCAGATTTAACAGGACTGTATGAGCGATCCATTAGAGCCTGATCTCGAGGTGGATCTGATTATATATACTTGGGATATGCATGTCTGCAATATCTGGTACTGCAATGTCGTTGATAACAAGGCGAAACATGAATCATCGAGCCATAACACAAAAACAGGTGATCAAGAAATTTTCACAGACATTTGTTCGGTATCTGTGAGGGCGCATGTCCAAGAACAAATATGAAACCCCAACGCAATTGAAATTGATTTGCACAAGGAAAACTGGATAATTGTGCACATTTGTCTATTATGAGTGCACTTGGCTACATACGCAACTTCGATCCTTGGAAATACTTGGAAGAGATGACCAAGAAGGCATAAGGTGAATTGCTGCAAACAACAGAGATTGGTTTTGATATTTATTGCGAGTCTTGATGCTTGTCCTGCCGTGCACCAATTTCAATCAAACCAGGATAAATTGGTTAATGTGACTCATTCTCATATGTTGGTGCCGACAAATTTGCAATATCAGACTTCAATCTATGTACAAACTGATAATCAACCATGATTTATGGGTCTATTGTCTCTAAAATTCTATTGAAATCCTTTCATATGTGCATAGATGAGGGCATCCAGTAAAAAGGATGTCGGTCCACCACACAAATATTGAAAACTGGAACGTGGTGCTTAGTCAGCTGACTGATGGATTCGTATGAGTGAAAAGGTAGTTGAAAGCCTTCAAACAGGCTCTCGACAGCACATATTGACTTACTTTCCCAGGAAGCAATCGAATCATTTTGGATTTTAACTTAGATATGCATTTGGTATTCTACTCTCTATCTGGCCTGATGGACGTTTCGGAAGCACTGGATTCCATCTAAAGCTTTAATTGCCATTTTGAATTTCTGTCATAATTTATTCATCAGACAACACATTTTGCTCTTTCAAACACATTTTCTGTGTACAAAAATTGCACTGTGCACCTGTTTTTGGTATAACATGATTTTGTTTTGCAACAACGATCATTTATTACTAAATTTTTTGTTAATAAGGGAGAATGGCCAACACATTCTCTGGCCAAGTGCAGAGAGGGCAGAGAATGTGCCAGTACAAGAGATGGAGCAAGCTCAAGAGCATGGGAGGCAATAAGTAGGCATTGAAATAGACGCCTTAGCTATACCTTTCTAATTGTAATTATCTTCTTCTTATTATACATTGCTTCGTTCTTCCTTTTTATGGTGCTGTTTTCGTTCTTTATGGTTTCCCTCCTCAATTATTTCAAATTTGCAAGCAAACAAAAGATTATTCCGATGTCCAATTGACTGCATTGATCATGAGATTGGATCTCGCCCAGACGATAAAACCCACTCTTCTGATTGAGGGAGACTATTATAGCTAGATTTGGAAAATCTCTTCCAGCGCCACTCCGTTCCATTATTCATCTTCATGATGTCGATTGCAGGTCAGGTCTGCTGCTTGTAGGAAAGGAATGGTTTGAGGATGGCAGAACAAAAGTGCGGAGTAGGTGCAAATGTGAAATAATTGCAACCACAAATCGCGGCCCTCATTGTCAGGGAAATGTTAGTTGATTATTTCAACCAGCTTACCAGCTCATTGAAGACTGTTACAACGATGCGAATTGAGGAAATCAGCGAACGCATGGAAAGAAAGATTACAAAGTGCCTTTCAATCATATACAATTTCGAGTACTCGGTGCTTCTTATGTGTTCTTGATTCTTGTGGGAGATGTTGGCTGCGAGGACATCTATCCCACAACATACACTTCGGAGATCGACATACGCAACCAATGATTTCGAGTTGCCTTCCATGCACATGCAGCGCGCCTTTTTTTATTGTATTTAGGTTTTTGTACTATTCAATTGCATTTTCATTTTGGCATTTTTTGATTTGTGTTGCTTCTCTCGCGCAAACTATACCGAACCCACGCATTTCAAACTGCTGCTAGTTCCATTCGTAGGTAAAAGGCGCATTATAGGTTAAAGTTATTATTGGTAAAACGGAGCGAAATAAGCATTGCAAAGAAAACTGACGGCAGAAAATGGGACTCGTGTTCACGCTACATCCAAGCTATTGGTGAAATTCGAGATAACACATAATTGCGGCATGTTTGTGGATGGTTGCGACAATGGTTGTAAAAGGCGCAAGATGCACTGTTGTTTAGTCTCCTCCACAGACGAGATAAGGCTTTCTTTGCTTGAATGCATCTCTAATCCTGTCTTCGCAAGCACCATGACACGGCATTGCGGCATTGTAAGCCATTGATAGTCTGTGTGGCTGTTGAGGTAGCAAGAATGTGTCCTATTCATTGCTGCTGGATGACAAAACAAACTCAGGCACATAATTCATGAACATGTTGTGCAATACTTGGATGTTGATTGCATAGAAATTGCAAATTCTTGGAATATGTCAGACTGAATTATTCCTTTTTGGTGGAGAAAGGCATTTAATGAATTAAACTGGTCAAAGCCGAAAACAACACAGTGAGCACGGCAACAACGGGTACTGTATTTGTCCGTTGCTAGGATGCTCCCATTGTGAAGGGAGCAACATACGACTCAGACAGCGCGAAACTGAGTCAACTTTGATCAAAATCCGGTTACATTATGACCTCGCTCAGCTGAGTGGTCAAGCCTTCAAAAGACACACAGCTTCTAGCACACTACCCTGAAAACGATATCTACAGTGGTACATTATTAATTAGCATAATTTGCACATTACTTAAGAACATTGAAATTTAAGGTAAATTGAAAGAACTCAGTGATCACGTTGCCATATCGTCACCAATGCCTGCTTTGCTGCTACGAGTGCTGCTCGAGCCTGTACCGTAGTATAATCTAGTCCAAGCCACTATGCATCTCAAAATAAGGTACTATGAGCGGATCGAGCCGACTTGGGCGGCGATCAGGGTACTCGCTTTAGCGATGAACAGGAGAAGGCTGAGCCACGTGTCGAGGCAGCATTCTAAAAAGCCCTAGGCTGGCGATGGATCAGAGCCTCAGAAGGAAGTGGAACAAAAGGTGTTGCTGAGGAAGCGCTGCGATGCCACATATCAACTGACATGATCTGTTTTGATGCACTTTTCTTGAACTGCATGGGATGCCTGTGGCAGTGCATGTGAAACTCGACCAATCGCTGAATGCTTTGATCGGCAATTCTTGCGAAGTGCAGGAACGCAAAGGCAACGTGCCATACCAACTCGCAGCCGCAGAGCAAATGAGGACGAGCGCAACCAGTGGCGAAACAAGAATGTGCCAAATATGCACCGATCCAAATTGAAAGATGCAACCAACATAACAATGCCATTTGAATTTCATGCATTCAGACATCATTTAACTTTGCAACATGTGCTCTAATCAACAAGAGCCACCGCAAAGGAATTTGGAAATCGAACAACGTAGGGAATTTGATTTCTGCTCGTTGTTTCTACAGAGCACGTCGATCAAACTCTGCGGAAAATTTGGTTTCTTGACATGTACCAAGACCACTGCATGAGCGTTGGCCACCTCGTCACATCCGGTCAATGGCAAAATATTATCAGCAACCCATCTCGCCGGTGGATTAGACCGAACATGAGCAAGCGCGTACGAACATTTTACGCGCAGTTTTTGCGGGGTCTTCGCAACGCACGGCAGGCGGAAGTGCAGGGAGATCACAATACTGCACAATCAGCGTCAAAAAAATAAAGAAAGTCCAAAATCTGCAAACATTTCGTCACTGGATCGAACCAGATCCAAACACCATCAATTCGCCAGTTGCGGGAATTTCATGTGTTGTATACTTAGGGGCCTGATCAGAAATCCTAGTCGTGCCTTCAGATCCTCCTTTAAGATACTCTGTTTCTGAAATTCATTGCGTAATGACTTCTGCTAGTAGCGGTACAAGATACCAATCTGCAACTACAAGTGCCGCGCCCGTCACCCCCGCCATGGGTACCGCTGCCAGTCACTCCAGCCCTTTGTCGCCATGTCCAGCAGTTTTGGAACTGGGACCACGTGCTCATCTCGTAAATATGATAGTATGTTCGGAATAACTCCAAATGGCTGATATATGAAATCGAGTATAACGGTTGGGTAGCAGAAGTATGTACTTCAGAACAATTTTGAGACGACTGACATGTGAGAACAAGTGTTGTCTGCAATGGGCAGTACACGATGAGTAACATCATAACAAAGTTTCGGATATACCCTACTAATCATGCACGCCCGGACAAAGTAGGCTGGAAAGCGGATGAGGCGTGCACGGTGTCAGGCCATCCCTGGAGGCGGAAACACGGAGCCGTGTGGAGCAGGCGGTGGAACTGTGGGGTAGTTAAAAGAAGGCTCAGGGTTCGGTACACGATGCAACAGGGCAGGAGTTCTGGTGAAGCAAGGACACTGAGGTCCGGAGGGAATGCGAACAAGACCAGACGAGGTACAAAGGGGAGACACCCGGTCCAGTGGGGATTGCATGTCGAACAAAGAAAGTGTTTTTGCTGAGGTTCCACAAACAACAGCCGTCGCAGAGCCGCAAGCCGGAAAGTAGGTCGAAACGGTGAGCACAAAACAGAGCATGCTACGTCCACGGTGGGTGGAGGGCAAAACCTTTGTGTCATCCACTGCAGAAGATACATCGATGCCAGCCCGTACAAACCGCTTTTGCAAGGCGTGGGCGGATGGGGAAGTACTTCTCAGAAAGTTCGCATGATATCTGCAACGGGGCGCGCTGTTGGCGGTATCACCAGGACAGTTTGGGTGGCTATGCGGAGGCTACAATGGACAAAAACTAGAGCGACAGCCCAGCAAAGGACGCCCCGCTGAAAGGGCATCATTAGAGGTTGAAAGACCCACGAATTCTTCTCCTTCGTTGAAAACATAGTAATGCACTATCAAAGAAGCGCTTCGATGGTGGTAACTTTGGGAATGGCACCAGGTCTTGTATCATTCATGAGTTCTCTCACTTTCAGGAAAACTATTCAACAACCGAGTGGTACTGTTTGTCCATTGTATAGGCAGTGATCAAATTTGGACCCCACATTTTAGGAAACGTGTATACCTTACGGACGGACTATCGCCCAATCCTTGGGATTCTCAGGTGCGCCAGCTTAACAGGGAGAATACTGCAAGTAGCAAGGTGGAAGGTGGAAGGTGGAAGGTGGAAGGTGGAAAGTGGAAGGTGGAAGGATAGTAGCAAGGTGGAAGTGCCTCCTAAACGAATTTGAGTTGAATCATCTATCATGAGCAGCACAAAAGTTTGTAGCAAAATAGACAATTATAGGGGTACTTGATATTGGATTGCGAACCTCCAAGGCTAATCAACACGCCCATTGCGAGCGATCGAAGTTAACACGAGCTTCAATTTTAGGGCCTTAATCAAAGATGCTGTCGTGCTTGTGACTTGTACTGATCGGAATTCTGAATATTTGATATTTCACTGTTTACTTCGATTTTGGATTTCCGCAGCTTTGTGCAGCACAACGTGGAGTTACCCTGGAAACTATGTTCCTCAACGGTGCAACATGGGAGGCTGAATTGGGACGCGGTCTGAACACCTCTTGGCAACAACCCAAGTAACAATACCATAAGCCATGCACTTTTTGCCTTTTCGAACAAACGAAGATTGCTCAATCAGGGATGAAATCATGACAGATGGCCGTGTTAGCAGCAAATTTGCAGCAGATATCTACACCATGGGCGGCATATCAGCAGCAACATTACTGGTAGGAATAATGGTAGTACTGGTAGTGGTATTGTTTGCAGTAAATTTGCATGAGCACAAGTGGTAACGTTTTAGTCAGTCACAATTGACCTTTTGTAAGTTCAAATTGCAGTTTGGATTGATCGTGATACTTCCATTGGGTTTGCAAATATGGTTGGCCCCGTCCACCTTGACAGGCTGCCGGGCATGCAATGGCACTCCCCCAACTTGCATCGGGCGCGGCCCGACGACGCCAGCAGCCCATCGCCCAGCCAGCATCAACCATGATCTTCCCTACACAGGGCCCCCTGGCTCCCACGCTCCAGCCCAACCGGTCGGGACCAGACGCAGGACGTCTCGTGTCCGGCACAAGTTTGCCTATTGTCTATTTTGCATTGTGCACGGCTGCCAATTGCTCATTGTGAATTGCGTATTGTCTATTGTCGAGATTGTCTCCTTCAGTTCGTTGCCGCCATGAAGCGCCAAGCGGACGTCACTATCGACGCGGGTTTCATTGAGGGAGCTCAGGCGACAGGCCGCCATAAAGCGATGCAGGCACACCAATGTACATCATCTATTTTTTGAAAAGGTTGAATTATAATGTTTCATAGAAAGTTAGTATGTTCTGTCCCTGGACCTTTGGCGCATGAGGAATGCAACGCGGTCACTACCATAGTCTGAATTCCTTTGATGGGAGTCTCAATACTGGGCCGTCGCAAAACGAAGAAGACCGGCCACAATGCAAGCGCCGTTGTGGCGATGACGACAGAGGACAATGGATCCTCGCCAACCGCCTGGGATGATCAAACTGATTAGAGGTCACCCTTTGGTGGCGGGAAATCCAGAGCAAGAAATAGGCTGTCCATGCACTACATGGGCTGGTCGCAAATGAACTGAGAAAGTTGTGCGTTGTGGCACGAGACCTTGCTGGCCGTTACGAACTTCTGAATTAGTAGAGGGCTGGATGTAGTGGGATGCGCAGTCACCTCGGATGGCTACCTGTCTGGGGCCCAAGGAGAGTCACAGGGGGAGGTTCCACTGGACAACTTCAGGGAAACTGAACCTCAAGCTAGACCGCGTTTGCGGATAGGAAAATCGTCGCAACTTGGATATTTTGATGTTTGTGTGTTAACGATGAACGGAGGCAAGAATTGTGTGGTTGGCATCTGATTGAACAGTGAATATGCCGGTCAAGTTCCAACACGACCTACAAAGTTTGCGAGCCACTATTGCCCGAGCATCGGCAGCCTTAGGCTCCAGCACCCGCTGGCTCCCCACGGGATCCACATGGTAACTGAGATAGTGTGAGAGGCACTCTGGTGCATGTTGAGACCATGGTGGACTGGATTGCCACAGGTTGGGAAGAAAAATGGATTCCATATTTAAAACCAAATTCAAGGCATGGCACAACATACAGCGAACAGAACATCAAAAAATCACGTTCCAAACCAAAAAGCACAGCATTGACATCACGAAACCGTTGGATATCCAAATATTGTATTCATCACTGTGAACCAAAATAAAGTGCAGTTGCTGAAGAGATGCAGATTGGAACAATCGCCCAGCACAATTGTTTGCAAACGAGCGGTCGAGCAGCCTGATCTCCGTGACGCCTAAAGCAAGGAATCACCATGGAGCGGGTGTTGCAACATGCTGATACGATGAGCTGACGCGAGGGGCTGACTCGATGGGAGACGGTTAGCTGTCGTGCCAAAAGCGGCAAAAGTACGGAAACACGCCAACATACAAAGCCAGTTGTTTGGCAGGACATCGCTGCCTTGTTTGCCCACGTCAGTCGATGGCATCCAAGATGCAATGCACCGCAATGCAACGGCGCACCCGTTGTGCCGCTGATAGCATACCGTTAATAACATGTGTACATAGGTTGTCAGAACAAGAGACGTGCATTTGGGACTTCTGTTTACAGCGCTGTCCATGCGGTCACGTGGTTCCTCTCGTTCAACCCAATTTTACCGTGACTCATCTGTTTGCCCGCATTTGGACGACATTTCAAGGATATTGTCAACAACATCTCCATCAGGTCTGTGGTACATGCATTTTAGGCGTCTGGGGTATTTCTCTCACCTTCCGACGCTAAGTTCTGGATGCTCCCGGACCCCGCGCTCAATGATTTCTGCCAGGTGCTTGAGCGCCGGGCCAAACTGCTTGCTGCGGTAGTAACACAGGGCGCAGTTGTAGGCCAAGTCAGCCTGCAGCGCACGCTCTTGTTCTAACGACATGCTGCACCAAGTGAAGCTGCCAAATGCGGCACAGGGATGCTGACAGCAAATGGTATCGGTGATTTTGCTGATGCAGAAGAACTCCAAATATGAACTCTGTTGCAATACCGTCGCTTGAAATTTGAATGCTGGTACAAGTTTACTTTTTTTTTGGAGTCGCGCAGCTGCTGCAACGCCTTTGCGGTTTTCTCGGATCCAACTGGTCGAGACAAGAAAACAAAACGCAAAGAAACATTATCAACATTTAGAGGAACGATATGACTGCCCATTCCTGCTGCTTGAGGTTTTGGAGAAGTCGCCTGATGTGTGTGCGTGTGTGTCCCCAGAGCTGCGCAGGTCCCTGAGCTGGACTTTTCCATTACAACGACCATTTAAAGAAAATTCAAATTTTGGCATCGACGCATAGGAGCCGTGGCGGCACGTTGTTGAAGTAAGGAATGCTGTTGCAGTGACAGCCGGTTCGAGAAAGCGAGGACACAGGCAGCAGCACACGTACAGGGCGTTGGAGAGATTCGAAAGGGCAACTTCCAGGACCTCTTAGTGAGGTCGATTTCAAACTGTATATGTTGAATAGGATTAGCTTATTAAGATTGATCCAAAGCTGCACGGCGGCCCACAACTGGCAAACCAAAACAACTAATAGAGGAATTTCAGTCGTAGCCAGGTGGATATCAAGAGAGAGTAGGTCAGGTCGATTGTCCAGATTGAAATGGCGGAATTCGAAATGGATTGATAAAACTCACGCTTAAAAATCGGTGCCATGGATCAAGAGGCTAAAATTCTGGAATGGCTGATCGACAATTGGTAACGCGACATGAGAAGATTTGAAGGATTGCTGACGTGACAAAAATTGGTGAGTGCTTGGCCGAGATATTTCGAGATCCATCAGCGACTGCACTGCTCACCGGGAGAAAATATCTTCATGGACAGAACGCATGTCAAGCGCTGCCAACGGGGCAACGACAGGTGGGTGTTTATCAACCGTTTGTAGGATTGTGGACAATATTTGGTAGGTATACATAAGTATCATTGTTAGATGGGCGGCCTCCAATCGAATGTTTGGAAATATTCGGTGTGTGAGCAACGTCTTGCGCATGGGAGGGGACAAAGTTGTCAGGCCCGAAGGTGGTGCAGAGAGGGCCAGGCGCATTGGATCGACGGAGGTCGCCACCGAAGGTCGCGCAGCACGACGGGAATGCATAACCATGTTCTGCTGATATACAATACATGTTTTATTAGTAATATTTCATTCGATTGTTACAATACTTTCAGGCGTCCGACCAACGCAGTTGGCTAGGTTCAGAGAAAACCTCTGGCAGTTGCGGACAGGTGGCGAGAGTTGGAGGCTGGCGGCGTTGCTGGGTGCAAGCGAGGCTGCAGTAGCCGCACAAACAACCTATCGTTCGACAGCCCGGAATTCACAGGAGGACATTTGGATTTCCATGATACTGGGGAGAGAGCCGAACAGGACAGGGCTCCAAAAGTTGACAACAAAGCTTGTTTAAACTCCGCGCTGAGATATTCTTAAAAGGGTACCCCAAAAGAAAATAGACGTTTTGAAAATCAATTTTTTTCCCACTGGATACTTCCATCGGGAACACGCCAATATGTTTTTTTCCAACCACGTTGCCCGTGTTGCCAACCCTTCCTTTTGTGTCAAACACTAAGTCATGTGCTGGGCATATTATGCAAAGTGCCTTGTGTGTTCCAATGTGCCACATCAATTGCACCTCCACTAAGTCATGTTTAAGAATGCCTCGACCGGTCGTTTCCAACAAGGGACGTTGAGATGCAGCTGCGTTTAATGCGTCCATTTGTTTTCATGGGCTAGTGTGTGGACTTGGGCCGAACAAAGATAGGGAGGGGGGGCTATGTGTCCCATCAGCCCAGGCTTTATGCGAATCTAGGTGCTCATTAATTCACATTCCTCCGCCCGGAGCGGCCAGAGGAGATGAGCTTTCTGGAGGATCGGAACTCTGTCAAGGAGCTGGTTGTGCTGCAGATGGATGAAACGGAGGAGCAAGCTGCTAGGACGCGGCTGATGGAGGAGGCGGGAGACTTGGAGGTGGTGGAAATTGAGGGAGAGAAGGGTGCAGGTCTGTGACCGCTTACCGTTAAGTTCCCTATAACATATTTCCCTCAACTGCATCCGGCGCCTCCACTCCTCAAAGGCGTCGATCGGCGTTGAAGGGAAAGGTGCTCCATCGCACATGAGCGCGTTCCCCGCAAGTGTCTCAATCACAGTGTTATTGTCAAACTGGCAGATGCAACGAGGTTTTGTGGCGATAGTTGGGGCAGAGACATGCAGCGGAGAGGGGGAATGAGACACATGGCCGGTGTTGCAACATGTCGAGCAAAGAATGCATCAATTGAAGTGACATGTGTTTTGCGTGTAAGTAAATGCACATCTGCAGAACGTTGTTCTGAGTTGATTTGTGGTCTTGTTTTGGAATGACATCATGCAGTGGGTTGCACTCCATTTGGGCCGTTATCTGGCTTGCACTTATACGCACCACACACAACAGAAGGGACCTCACGGCATGCCAAGCACACCAACAGAAACGGCGCCAACAGCTCATGTGCTGCTGCCGGTGCTCAACCAGCAGACCTGTACTTTGCGGTGGTGCCTGCTACACCGACATTACTGTTTTGAGATTTCGCGTCGGCGAAATTACCTGATATCCAAGTATGGCAATGGCTTCGCTGAATTTCTGCCGCGCCTCTTCGTGATTGCCTTCTTTGTAGAGGAGGCAGCCGGAATTGATGATTGTGTTTGGGTGGTCGACCGGGCATGTCTCTAACTGCTGCCGACAACCTAATTGGGGAGTGGCATAGTTCACCATCGATAAATACGAATTTATATAATATGCCTAATATTATATATTATAATATAACTATTTGAAGCAACTGAAATGGCATTGGATGGCACAAACTTCAAAATTCAGGGCTGAAGACATTGGACAAATGCAGCACTCGGCAAAAGTGGATGGCTGCCATTGGGAGGCTGCGGACATGCTGTTGTGCTGATAAGTTAACGATAAAAATAATCTAGGGACAGGTCGAAAGAAAAACTACCATTTTGCGTAGAGTAGAGTGTGTGTGATTGTCAGAAATACGGTTGGACATATCAATACCCTTTTCAACGAGCACGACAACACTTTAGCAGCTCTATGTTGTTGGTAAGGAGGGAAGGGCCATGCAAGACCAAAAAGACGGGTTTCGTGCCCGACAAGCAATAGTTACATCAGCCACTTGCCAATGAGCGCAAATCCCTATCACAGCTGACGTGCAATTGCAGTGCTATTGTATGCAAAAAAACAGCGGGTAGTTTCTACAAGATGTTTCACAAAGGAGGCACCGTACGACTAATGGGGAATTTTCATAACAAAATGAACGACGATTTGAAGGCAACTTGGATGAGCGCTTTGCGGACAGCCTATGAATGAATATGCATTGGCAGCGGATGGGCGCAAGCTGCCGTGATGTTGCCCATCCGTGACTACTCATCCCTGATGGCGTTGTGGTCATGTTCACCACAAACATCACCACAAATTTTGCGGCGTGATCAAACAAAGCTTCAAGATTTCAACACGCGGCCATCATGCCAAACGTCAGACCACCAATTGTCCATCGGAAAATTAGTGTAGTGAAGGCGCTACGACTTCTGGGTGAGCGTCTCCACGACCGTAAAACTCGTATTAAACTCCCTATCGCTGGCAAACCAGGAATCATGACTCAGGGAAGGCATCTTGCAGCCGGGCGTTAAAACACGACGTTTACATGATGGTCTTGTACAACAACGCCTAGAGCATTCTGGTGCTGTGATCAACGATTCTTGGAACTTTGAAACCCACCATAACTCTGGCAACTTTTCACACACAAAAGCCGATGATGGCCTGAATGGCAGACAACTTGTCACCGGTAGCTTTGCTAAGAGGCTCGCTAAGAGGTCCGCCGACCCAAAACTCGGACGGCACAAAATATTGGCAAAAGGGAAAATTTGTACTCCGACAGGCAACAACATTTCCATTCTCTTAAAGATTCCAAGTGTCTCTTTTCCTTCATTCTTAGTTATCATTATGTGGTAACGCGACAGTTGCAAAACTTGCTGTGCAATTTCAAACCACAAGTAAAGTAGAAACACGGTTTCCAAATCCCGTATGCCATCTGATCTAGACAGACATGCAGATATTAGAGAATTAAGAAATCGATGGCATCGACACATCCACGCAGAAAAGCACAGGGCAATCTGTCTTCGGAACCATTTGTTTTGTGGCAGAGAAATTTGGGGGCAAAAGCCATTGAAAATTTCCTACTTGCATCTAACATTTTGTGGCTGCGACTGGCCAAGATTTTGCAAACACGAAATTTTGGTATCTTTCAAAACGGACTTATCTCAGTCGCACACAGTGAATCGCAACACCTCGTGCATCTGCTGACCTCCAATGCCCATTCAACTGTTTCCCAAGAGAAGCCAGCTTACACACCCAGAAACATGCCATCTCATCCACAGAACCCTTCAAATGGATAAGCAAAAAACATATTCTGCTACACACATGCAAATATATAATGTTGCATCTCTAAACATGCTGGACTGGGCACGCAAGTTTTGGTGAGCACCATATCCACAACGCGCACGTTGTATGAGAACTAGCCCCAATGCAAGCAATCAAAGCATTGCAATGTCTATCACGACTGGCAAGCGGTGCGCTCCATTTGACATTTGGTGTATTCTGCACACTTTGCTTCTTTATGCTCGACCCGCTTAGAGATTGTCCTCACCTGGGATGTCGTCCTGCTCGTATTTCACTGCAAAATGGAGGGCCGTGACTTGTGCCTGTCGATTTTTTACCGCCGTTGCCGCCTTGGTTGCCTCTGCATACATCCCTGACTGCAGAGAGATACATGCAAAGACTCAAAAGGGCTGAAAAGCCAAATTGTACGACAGCCGTGAACAGCGCACCCCATTGCTAACAAAGAGAGGTGTGCAAGACAAGGCAGCCACTATCTAGCTACTGCAGACACAACGCAACGATTCCTGAGTATATGTGGAGAGGAATAACGTAACTTAGCAAACAGAAATAAATGGTACACAAAACGTTAGCCTTTCAAGCAAAGTGCCCACCTTGCAGAGCGACTGTGCATAGTACAGCCTGTAGTCTTGATTGTCAGGGTGCAGTCGCACGAGTTGCTCATACCTGGAGCGATGTGAAGATTGCATTAACGAAGTCAATGGAATCAGAAAGGAACTAGCTTGAACAACAAGCCACAAAGGAATTGTCGGGAGTGATTGAACAGAATAATTCCATCCAAATTGGCGTGAAACGGTTGCTATGAATCTGGAAGGGGCACATTGCCACATCTGTGGAAAAGCGAGTTCGAATTTTATAGAGCATCTGTGGGCTGCCTGACATGATGCGTTTTTTCCATGCACCAGTGCCTTCTCCAATACTCGATTAGTGCATATGCACCTTCGCACGCACCTACATTTCAGCAGCTGCTGGGTAACTTCCCAGGTGATAGTAGCAATAACCCAGCAGTGATAGAGCGGCTCGGTTCTCCGGGATTCTCTGTGAACGCAAAAGAACATAGCAAATGAGCAACGCAGGGAAAAAAGCGACGCCTGCCATCGGTTCCGACGTCGAAAGGAATACCTGCCTCAGCATGATTAATCATTCTGAGGAATAGGAAGAATATTCTTCCTGGCAGGCATTTAATGCTCGTCACATTTTAAAACGCACACTCATGTCGAACAAATTTCATTTGAAAACTGTGCCCATTGCACATCATATAATGAATACAGAATTACTTTCCTTCATGAACACTGTTGGCTAACGCTTATGACGCAGCGATTATGCCCTTTTCAAAAAATTAGAACCAAGTGCTTCTCTGGCTGGTGCAAGACAGATGGATTTTATGACGCACTGATACAGCAGCAATCACATGGAACCTCCAGTATTTTATCGCTCCACACAGCGCCCCCTGGCATTTTGATACTTGGTTGGCATGGTTCACAAGCATGGCGCATTTGACATGTACAAGGCGCTAGCACTATAAACATTGGCTGAATATCGCAAACATTTTCGCGCTTTCGGCGTCTCAAGGTTTCTATGCAACACCACCAAATGCAACTTCGGTATTTAGAGCATACCAACTACTTGAAGTACTACATAACTGACGGATTTGCGACTTTCAGCCAAAAGGCTCCGTCTTCAGCAGAAACAAGCTGTTAGGAATGTGTTAGAATAGGACACCTTTCGCATGGGCAATAGCATGACATCCTGTTGTCGATACACTCAATTGTCGATACACGCACAATGAACATGAACCACTGAACTTCACATCGACGCTGCAAGGATGCTTTCTAAAACCTTGAGGTCTCAAATTTTGCATCTTGGTGGTTTGGGGCATATTAATCACTAGAGAGTGCATGACATGCCAGTGAAGATTCCTACAGCCCTAGATGAAGTGGAGTTGTCTTATTATTTGCATTCAGGAATCCAGGTGATCTAATTGTTGTCACTCATTGTGAATGCACCAACTGGCGAATCTCATGCAGCCACATCACTAATTGGATGCCAGCTGTTGCTGCTGGCCCACACCCATCCACAGGGGCATGTGAGTACCAGTCAGTGACATTCGGAACAGGAACCCAGGCAGCGGGCGCCCGCCCAAGCGATCCCCGACGCGAATGGCAAAGAGACACGCAGTCAGGTGGCCCGGCAGAGCGGTACGACCCACGTACCCTCACAAACTATCTTAATTCTCAACTCGCGCTGGCAACAACAGATCCTCCCACCCCCACCTGCAACCAGCCACCTGTCCCCTTCTGAAAAGAACCTCCCATACATTTGTTGGGGAGGGGGTGCCCTCTGTGCGACCCATTTTCTCTTTCTCTATGTAACAGAGGTTACCCTCCTTTGCCCCCATCCCATTTAGCCCACCACCTCGGCCCTGAATGCATCGAAGGCCATGGTATGCAACCACTGGACCCAGAATTTCCCTCTTCCCTTCCAGTCTTCCCACACTGCTGTTGGACTCATGGCCCCACTAGCTGCGATTCTTAAATGTACCGCCCCCCCAAAGGTCACACCTTTCTCATATTTCACCCATTTCAATCAGTTTTATTGACCCATTGCTGTTTCCTTTATATCTGGCCATGGCCAGTCCCGATTGCACAAGGAGATAATGTCATTTTCGCGATGCAACCTTGATGCTGTTTGATACTTATTGGTGAGTTTCACAGTCGGTTTCATACCATCGCAATCAAACTGATGTCAGCAATCAGTGACAAAAGGTATTTGGAAAATTGTGCCTTCTGCCAATGCTGGCCTTGCCTGCCTACTCTGGGAGTGACAGCTTCTATGACATCCCCAGCATCATGTTGGGCGATTGCCCAGGGGAGGCGATCGACATCAAACTGATTTGCAAGATTCCAGACTTATACTGTGAACAACCGGTCCTATGCCTATCAGTGATGGAAGCCCACCTGCCATTGGTTCTGCAACACAGTGATGGCCGCCTCCAGCTTTTGGTCCCGGATGTAGCCATACACTGTCTGCGTGAAGTTGCCGTGTGTCACCTGCAGAGCCACAGGTCAAACTCAAGATTGCCACCAAATCAACGACAGCATTACGAGATCACCAGCACCACCAGCAGAAATTCGAGATCACCACCACCAACAGTGACAGCAACTCGAGATCGCCACCCAAAACAACAACAGCACTTCGAGATCACCACTACCAGCCACAACAATTCGAGATCAGCACCACCAACAATAGCAGCTGAAGTTCGCCATTATCAGCAACAGAAATACGAGACCAGCACTACCAACAATAAAAACAATTTGAGATTACTACAAAAACAAAACAACAGGAATTCGGGATCGTTACCACCAGCAACACAGTTGAGAGTTCAACACCACCAACAACAGCAGCTCGAGATCGCCACCACCACCACCAACAGCATTTCGAGATCGTCAACACCAGCAAAAGCAACGAGAGTTCAACGCCACCACCAACACCAATTTGAGATCGCTACAACCAGCAACAGCAATGCCAGCTCAGCACCAACAACAACAGCAACACGAGATCGTCACCACCAGCAACAACAACTCGACATCGCCACTACCAACAATAACAGCCACTCGATATCACCGCTACCAACAACAGCAACTCGAGATAGCCACCGACAACAATGAAAGTTCGAGATTGATGCCGTCAACGACAGCGATTCGAAATCACCACCAGCAACAACGGCAGTTCCAGATCACCACTACCGACAACAGCAACTCGATATAACCACCGACAACAATGATCGCCGCGTTCCCTTCTTGTCCCGAGACTCCCTTCTGTGGGACCTGTTTGCACATCGGCGGTCTTCGCGGGCAACTTGCAAGCGCCAACTTGGGCGCACCGCGGTGCCAAGTCGACAGCAACAACAGCAACAGAAACAGTGTGGCGCTGGATCGCGGACGTCGATTGCAAGTGAACGAGGGGCGATCGCCGCTGCTCCGCCTGGAGAAATAGCCGCTGTGACGATCGGCCTCGGAACAAGCAGAGATAAAGCAGCAAGGGATGCCAGGGCATGTCAGCGTGGCATTTCCAGATACGAGACACGGCGCCCCGGGGCGGTCACGACTGACCCAAATCGCAAATCGTCCCGTCAGCCGAGCACGGAACAACAAAAGAAAACTGGGTACAGTCACAATCCGTTCCCTACCCTCCCTGCCTGCGGAGATGGGCAAACAAGGAGAAAGACATACACGCACCTGGGGCGCCACCAGGACCACCATGGCGATCCCTGCCGCCGCCTTGCCTCGCCACGCACAGCCCTCCCCAGTGGCCGTCTCGGGCGAGGCGGTTCGTGGCCCTCGGGTCAAGGATGCTCGAGCGTGAGGTCGCTGTTGGTGGCGCCGGGTGGCGTCGGTCGCAAGTCGACGGTGGAGGCGTCAGGTGGAGCCTGGCGGTGCAAAGAGCCAGGCCGGTACTAGTACTAGTATGGAGATCGGTACCTTTCCCATTAACGCCTCTGAATGGTCTAAATGTAGCCTTTGAGTCTTTATCAGTACGCAGGCTTGGTTTTTACGCCGTAAAAA